TAGATCGGTTGGTTCCCCGTGTTTTCGGCTTCTGCTGGTGGTTCTGATCGGACTTGGTGGTGGCTGTTGCTGCAGGTTGGCGGCCGGCGGCAGGATGAAGGCCAAGGCGGGCTCCCGCGCCGGCGACTCCAGGTCAGTGCCCCGACCTCTCGCCCCTCCCCCCTCTCCCCGTCTCGTTTCGTTTTCCGTGGTGATTCTGCTCTGGTTTTCCTGCTGCTGTTTCGCGTCGGGTTCTGATTCCGTTTGCTGCTGCTGTTTCGGTGGTGGCGCAGGCTCACGGTGAAGAAGAGCAAGGCCGAGAAGGACCCCAACAAGCCCAAGCGCCCCCCGAGCGCCTTCTTCGTCTTCATGTGAGTCCCCCCAAATTCGATTCCATTCGTGCTTGCCTGTGCTGTTTCGATTCGCGTTGTTTTCCTGTGGCGTGGCGTCGCGTGCTGAACGAGGCTCGTTTCGGTTTCGTCTTCGCAGGGACACCTTCAGGAAGGAGTACAAGGAGAAGCACCCCGACGTTAAGCAGGTGTCCGTGGTAAGCATCTCGGTTCCCTTCGCTACCGCCTCTGTCTCCTGTTCGTTTGAACTGCTGCTGCGAGATGGGTTTCCTTGTGAATTCCGTGTCCTGATCTCGTTTGGGTTGGCCGAATCGCAGGTTGGCAAGGCCGGTGGTGAGAAGTGGAAGTCCCTGAGCGATGCTGTAAGTCGCCCGTCTCCCCTCCCCTCTCTGTTACCGCTCCATTCGGTGGTCTGTTCCGTCTGATATCTGTGCTTGCTCGGTGATGTGATGGAGATTTGGTCGCCCGTCTGTTGGTTTACTTGTTTCCGTGTCAGTTAGATTTCGAATTCAGTCGCTATGCAATTGTTGACGTACTGCCTGCGCTCAATTTGGTCGTTAAAATCTACTGCCTGCAGTGTTGAAATGTCGTGCAATTTATTCTGTATATGCAATTGTTGATCTACTGCCGATGCTCAATTTGGTTGTACAAATCTATTATGATTCGCTGTGTTTCAAATGTGCAGCCTCTTTAGAGTTGTATACGTCCTGTGCCAATCGATTCAAACTGCTGCCCGTGCTCGTTCGTGCGACTTAGTCTGTATGCAAATGCTGATCTACTGCCTATGCTCAATTTGGTTGTTCAGATTTATGATTCGCCCGTGCTCGTCAATTTAAACCGATGCCCGTTCCCGTTCGTGCAATGTGCATATCTGCCCTGCCATTCAACACAATTTGTTAAATTATTCCTCTGCCTTTAGAGCTAACACCCTGTTTATGGCTGCCCTTAGAACTAACGCCTTGCACCACACTGACATTCCTCTGCTGTTTGAATGAATTGCAGGAGAAGGCTCCCTACACTGCCAAGGCCGAGAAGCTCAAGGCCGAGTACACCAAGAAGATCAACGCCTACAACAACCCACAGGTAATCCCCATCTCCACACCCCCGTCCTCCAAAAACATCCGTCGGAACTGTCTCGCGCAGACATTGTGATACTGAACCGTGTTGACTCGTCTCCTTCTCCGTTGCAGGCAGGAGAGGCGTCCGGCGACTCTGACAAGTCCAAGTCCGAGGTGAACGACGAGGACAGCGAGGTGAGGCCGTCAACACCCACTCCGTCCGTTCCCTTCGTTGCCGAGAACTTGTCGATCCGTTCTGAACTTCTGGCGCATCAAACAGCGACGCCGGTTTCTGAAACTTTCTGTGTCTGAACTTTGCCGTGTGCAGGGCGACGAGTGAAGCGGCACGCCAAGCAGCTGCAGCAGGGGGAGGGGGTCTCTGGAACGTGGCCGCTGCCGCTCATTGCTGGTGTCACCGATCGATGATGGATGTTCGCTGTTAGTTTAGCCCCTTGGTAGTCCCTCCCTCTCTTTCAGGTTGCTGCTGCTGATGGCGATGATAGAAATGGTAGCTCTAGTCCCATGTAGTCGTTGTCCTGGATCGGAGTGGTGAAATTGCTAGCCTAGTTTCCTTTCTGCAGGGTCCTCTGCTCGGACCGCCCTCTGTTGCTTCGTGCTTTATGTTTTAATTCAGTCTCTGTCGTATGTACCTAGTGTCGTGCCCGTGGCTGTTTTAAGAATCCTGCCCCAGATCTCAATATATATGGTGTTGAAAGGAAGAAAATCATCTTGATACATGCTTGTTCGATCCTGTCACTCTGAAATGTTTCTCTGTTTCACTCTGTTGCTGCAATGTCGCTCTGTCCTGTGATGCCAGGTTTCTGAATGTTTGTTGTGGAGCCCTACAGTCTTGATATTTTGCTGAAAATCTGAGTAATCCCATGGCTTCTGTTTCTTGATTTTCTGAATAAGATGTTTGTGGTGTAACGATGGGGTCTTGATGTTTTGTTGAAATCTGAGTGATCCCACAAGCGGTCGATGGATAAGATTGTACAGTCTTGGTTATCTTTTTGGGAATTTATCTGTCGCTTTTGGTTCTGCTAACAACTCTCCGATCTTGTCTTTTGCTGGCTTGTTGGTTCTTCTCTTCCTAGTATCAACATCATGGCTCTATCTAGTGATGTGAAGTTTGTAAAAGATCTTTACATGACGTCTTCTGCTGAAAGTTGTTTTGTCACCTGCCTCCAATTCCGTTTGTTACATCATTTTTGTGGTCCGAGCGTGACATCAGTCTGACTACTCTTTGGCAGCAATGGTCGTCTGACATCACGGAATGTTGTCAAGATGCAGCACTAGCTACTCCTGTGGAGATGTTTACGGATAAGATCCTACTGCTGGATATGATTCTCTTGCTGCTGCTGGGTGATCCCTTTTTGTCTTGTGCCAGCGATTGTTCGAGATGCTCTACTCCAGTTTGTGTGCTTGCTGCAATTCGTTCCTGCATCTGTTTAGGTCTTCTCAAAGTTTGGATCGGATGTCTTGGTGTGCCTGTGTTTTGGTTTTGGAGCAACTCTCCCTCTTGCTAGATCTGATGGGGGCAGCGCTCTGATTCCTTGCTTTGGCAGCAACAGCTGGAGATTTTGATGCTGGGAAAATGCACAACTATATCTGATGTGACTCACTGAGATTTCAGGAAGACAAGTCTCTGCCAGCAGCGATTCGGGTTCGGACCTGTCCATCCTTTTGGAGTTGCTGTTTCAGCAATTTGTTTGATCTGGAAGCTGGCATGAGGTTCTCTATGCTTACCTAGTTTGACTGTTGTTCTTTTGGTGATGTACTGTGCTGTGCTTGCTCTTCAGTGACAGTGAGCTAACTCTTTGTTTCAGAATGATAAAAACACATTAAGAGGCAAAACATAATTTCAAGCGTAGAAAATACACTGGGACGCAATTCATAGAAGAATATCAAGCGTAGATATTGAAATGCACCCATTGCTTTGCTTGAAAAATGATTCTATTAGTGATTTTTTGTGGTGGAACCCTGAAGTGTCTTTGTATTTGTTTCAAGTCCGAATTATTTATTACGCATCATCTCCCTCGATTGTTCTCATTTGCATATCATCTCCCATGATTGATCTCATTTCTCCATTATCTGAATCTTTAGTCAGTACATTGTCTCATTCTCCTTCTAGATGCGATTCCTTCTTGTTCTGCTTGGTCACATGTGGGGAGTGCTTTTTGCCGCTTGTGTTATGTCCCTCTCTCAGGCTTGGAACGGCAGAGATCTCTACATGCAATTCCTCCTGATTGTACGGGATGAGAAGGGCAAAGTTGCTCATAAATCTCTGACCATCGACCAAGGAAGCATAAAAAAATAAATAGATAAGGACTTAGAGCCACCACAAATAAAACACTGATTGTTAACAAATCCTAAAAAACCAAGTGAACACACGATCAAATCAGATCCTAAACCATGAGACCGGTTAATATGATTAAGCAGCCCACCCACTCTAGCAACTTATCAAAGGAAACTGGCTATGAATTAGTGTAAATCGCAAACTCCCAAGACCTTCATACTGGCATATGGTGGTGGTGGGAGTGGGATGATGCTTTGGTTGTTGTGTTAGTGAAGACGTGCACGTACTCGCATTGCAGGTGAAGAGGGACACATACACCATTTAAAGACTATGGTAGATGGGTATTTAAAGCATTGCAGCGCCACCAGTTGATTGGGATTTGGTTTTGCTTGGCATCGCACGTAGTTTTCATGATGTGCTTTCCCTATTATGTGCTCTCTGCGTTTTTTTTAAAATTTTTGTCTTCAGGATTTTAGATCTCAACATCAGCTATAAAAAATGTTGAAAGGAAATGGTACTAGACTCGGTTGTCTTCCTTCGTGTTAACCTTGCTCCTGGACGCGTTCTCTGTCAACTTGCGGATTGCTCGGTGCTCTGCGGTGTCTTGCGGAAGTTTCTGAATTTTTTGAGTAACATTATGATGCCTGTCAGTAACCTTGCCTTATCAGCTGATGGATAAGATCATGCGGAATCTCCACGTGCTACTTCTAAGAATCCTACCGAGATCTCAGTATATATGGTGTTGAAAAGAAAGAAATGGGCATCGATACATGCTTGTCCGATGATTAATCCTGTCCCTTTCAAAAATTTCCGTGCTTAACACCCTTGCTGGGATGGTGCGTTGTCCGATGATGAGAAGTGTCTGAATGTTTGTGGGGCAACCGGGGTGTTTGGTTCAAGTCTGAATGGTCCCGTGTAAAAAAAATAATCTGTTTTGTTGATTGTCTGAATCTAAATCATATGATGTATAAGATTGTTCTGTCTTGATTCTAGTTCTGTATCCGGTTCGTCCTGTGAATTGTGATCTGTAGTGCTGTTTACCATTTGCCATCTTGCTGTGGGGCAGCAAATGTTTGGGAATATTCAGTATTCTTGTCATGTGTTTGTCTGTCAGCAGGTTGATCTTGCTTGGTTCTGCCAAGTTTTTTGGGCCTTTTTTTTATAGCTTTTGGATCTGTCGAGTACTTTGAGGTTTTTGTCTTTTCTTTGTTTGTGGTTGTAGAGTAAAGGCCATAGCCCGACTTTATAAATAAAGCCACACGGCAGCGTCACAGACCCGAACAAGAACGAAACCAACAGGCGAAACATCGCAGTACACCGAACAGAAGTTTCGGACGAGCAAACGAAATAGATGGGTACAGGCAACCTGCCATACACGGCGCGCAGGCCGGGAGGTAGAAGACTAGAAACAAACTACGATAACAGCGACACCCTGATTAGACGACGGGGTCCAACCCGGAGATGTGGATGCCGAAGCCCGGATTTTGGCGATGAGCAAGTCCAGGGCATCCCGATCTTCATCCTTAGTCAATGATCTCCACTGCTGCAATAGTATACATGATTTGAAAAGAACGTCAGCCGGCTTAGACGGGAAGATATGTTCAATAGTAAATTTATTCCTAATAGTCCAAAGAGCCCAGCATAAGGCACCCAGGCCGACCCAGAACACCCTCTTGGTAACCCCAACGAAAACTTTGGCTAGGTTTCTAAGCTCAGAGAATGAGGAAGGGTTCCAAGAAACCTGGAGCCAAGATCTGACACAACTCCAAACCAACTTAGCCAGCACGCAATGAAAAAAAATGCGTTCCGAGTTTTCCAAGGCACCACATAAATGACAGAACTCCGAGCCTGGCCCATTGCGCTTTTTAATCTGGTCGGCCGCCGGGAGGCGGCCACGAAAAGCTTGCCAAAGGAAGATTTTAATCTTAGGAGGGACTTTGGAATTCCAGACACAAGAAAATCTGCTCGAAGGGGTACCACCGATAAGCCTAGAGTACAACGACTTAACCGAAAACCTGCCAGAGGCCGAATGAGGCCAAACCACAGTGTCAGAAGACTCCGAGAGCACAGGGAAAAGGGCAGAGAGACTTTGCCAGTCTTCCAACTCTTCAGGAGACAGGGAACGACGAAAAGCCAGATCCCAGTTATTAGCCGCCACCTCCGCGATGGAGATATCAGGTTTAGGGCAATAAGAGAACAAAACCGGAAAACTAACAGCTAGGGGGGCATCCCAGACCACCAGTCCAGTGATGTGAGCCGTTGTATCAAGTGATGTGAGCTTCTAAAATTTCTCTCTTCTTTATATGACGTTTTCTGAAAGATTTGAGTTGTTTGTAAGGGACTGAAAGTGCCTCCAATTATGAACAATTTGGTGCTTCTCCGTTGCACCTGGAGTTGGATACATCTTTGTGTGATTCGGGCGTGATATTACAAGATGTTGGGAAGATGCAGTACTTCAATATTGTGGGGAAGATGTCTGACTGGATACGATTATGTTGCTGATTCTGGGTGATCCTTTTTTCCTTGTCTGCCTGCGATTGTTGGAGTAGCCCAATCTGTTCATTCCTGGTGACGTGACGTGAGGTCTTCTGAAAGTTTGGGGTGACAGTCCAAGTCTTCAACCTTGCTAGATTTGATGGGGCAAAAAGTTGGAGATTCTCTTCGCCCTCCACCTGGTTTTTCTGTTGCGTCTGCGGGGCGGCTGCGGTGCTCCCGTCTCGGGAGGTGGCGCGCGGCTGGTCTCTTGCTGGATCCGGCCGGATCTGGCGTTGGGGGCCGGCCGGCTGCGCGTGGCTTCGGTGGTGCGTGCCTGACGGCTCCGGCGCTTGGAGCTCGCCGGGCGACGCGGGTAGGGCAGCGGCCGGGCATGGCCGTTGCTCCGGCCATGGGCGGCAGCGTGCGGAGGTCCGGCGGTGTTGGCCTCCCGGTGTTGTGGTGGCTTCACGGTGGCTCGACGGATCTGCCCACGACAACGTCCGGCTTCTCCGGCGTCGGCTCGTCTGCGTTCGGACCGTCTCGACCTTCGCCTCATCTCCTCGTTGCCC